CAGACAAAAAAAAATGAAAATGTAACTCAATACATAAACCATTTCACCTGCGTTTCTACTCCTCATTGTTTTCCGCTGTCTTGGGTTTGGCAAGAAGTCACCAGGTTACATGGAAAGAGTGTAAACATTAACTGATCCTGCAAAGTACTAAAAATCTCAAGAAAAATAAACTGAGATGTCCTATGAAATATAAAAGTATAAAAATATTCATAAAGTATATTCCGACTAGGTTCTTAACACTGAAAGAACTAAAGTCATTAGGCATATTTTAAATGTAAATGAACTTAAATTGAATGGTTTGTGGCAACACAATGAAGAACAGGTCAAGGTCACAAAGACATATAACATCTGCCCTTGGTCATGTGGATGGAGTAGCGAAGAGCTATGATATGCTTGACTAACCTATTGTTTTTGGGGGCACATGAGTCTTTGAATGAGTGCAAATGGTAACAAAACAGTTTAGTAGTCAGTGATCATTGACATGTTTAGGTGGACCAGCAGACACACCCCACACTATTATGAAGCTACTGTCAGCCTGTACACTACCTTGTTTACAACAGATCTGTTGGTCCCAATCCTGATAAAGAATGATTGTAAAACACTTTCCCCTCCCCAATTTCTAGGCAGAAGCATACAAATGCATGCTGGTATTTCTTCCTAGCCAATAAAATAGGCCAGTTTTCAGTTTCGTCTGACTCTGTCCCAGTCTATTTGATACAATTCTTTGTTTATGATTCTATAGTATCAGTCCACAAGGATAGTTTTCACCAAGACCAGCAGGCTTTACTTGCTCAAAGCCATTTTTAACCATTGATCTTAGAAAGTGGTTGAATACAGCTGACAGTTTAGATATTTCTAAATGAGTTTGGTGCTATGCATGACATCCATATAAAAGTCTCAACATGACAAGGCTATTTAAGAACAGGACTCAAATTTTCAGGTTAATGTTTTGGTTTTGTAGCAAGTGATTGTTTAAAAAAAAATTTGCAGTGTTGGCACAGCTTATTCCAGTGGTTCCTAAATGGTGTGGCACACCTCATAGGTGCAGCAGAAGAGGATAGCAGGTGAGGGGGAATGATTGAAAGATGATCAAAGATTTAGAAACAGTTTAAAAAAATTCATATGCCAAAAGTAAATATGATTTCAAAATTTTAAATATTATTATGGATTACTTGTAATTGCTTGCATGAGTCTCAGTATAAATAGTTATAAAAAATTACTTACTAATTTTATCATTGTCATATTTTTGCATTGCAGTCTTGAGGGGAAAATGGTACATTCCCTTATCCATATTTGCTCTTGTATATCAACTTCCATTCTTGGTTTTTTGGCTTTTTACATTTTTACTGTTAATTTGCCATGCATATATTGTTTGTTTGCTTTTGTATTATTCTTGTCCTGTTTTGTTCTTTTCTTGTCATTGTGTATTGCAAACTTTGTCAAGTCTGTTTGTTTGTCAGTTCTGATATTTGTTTACATTTAATCACAGCTACTCTATAAGATCCATGGTTTCATGTGGTCTGCTATACCCAAACCTACTATCAACATGAAACAATTAGAACCACAAATCCAACCTATACCATATATTCATGGTCCAGTTAGTGACATCACAAGCCCATGTTAGGCAGTGTCTAGTATTGGGATGTTAATAGGGTTAACCTTCTGTTCCTGTGAACCATGGAAGCTAAAGAAGGCTGATGTGACCTTTTGGATATTTCTATCTCCTGATTGGTTGTGATTTGACCCAATGTTGCTTGTCTGTTACTGAAGACCATTCTTGCCAGATGCCTCTCATCATGATTACTAAGGACTCATGGTTAGCCACTATACTGTTCATAATGGGTGATGATGACTTCCATGCATCCCCAGTCCTCTACATAATTCTGTAGATCAAAGGATGTCAAATATTTATTTTATTAAATGCTCTCTCAGTACAAGGCACAAGATCTACTCAAAGTAGTGGGTGAATCAATGAGGTGTATGGTATAAACATAATAGGAAGTAAGTACAGATTATCAGGATATGTAGGATAGATAACAGTTGAACCTAGACTTTGATAGCATCAGAGGTTAAGATTGTAGACTATTCTACAAAGTAGCTGTTCTCAGGAAGAAGCTGTCTGGGTGGAATTTCCTTCTGACCTATAGAATACAAAACAAATGGGAATTATTTCAGTGTACATGGCATGGAGTCTCCTAGCAGTAAAGATCTGAATTAAGGGAATTAAGTAATGTAGCTTGTCTGAACATTTGCCATTGAAATAGTGATAGTAGCAAGAGGTTCACAACATTTCATCTATCAAGACAGGGCAGTGAAGATTGGGCAGTTCCAGCTCAGATATTACAGCAATACTGAATTTTTGTTCTGTTATGATTTTTTGTTCTAAAATATGGCAAGGGTGTGTTGGGGTGGTAGAACATCTAACCGATTGCTCTCCCAAGAACTATAGGGTAACAGGCAGAGAAGGGAAAAAGACAGGAGGAAACAAAAAGAATGCTGTCTCAGAAACCACGGCACAGATAGATGCACACAACTTTAGGAATAAAATGCCCAAGAGAATGACTTCATAAGACACCGCGTCTTGTTAACTGCCCACTGCTGGTTTTCCCATCAATTTTATTGACAGTTGACAGAAACCTGGATCTGGAGAAGTTGCAGAGAGGCCTGTATATGCCAAGCTGTTCTGCTGTTAATTGAGGAAAATCTGGTTACAACTGGTTTTGACAGACATGTCTGCACATGATTTCAGGCCAGAAGGAAAAACTATTTGAGTAGAATTTCCTCTCTTGACAAGGAAATAAGAGTGAGTAGACTCTGTGGTTGTGGCATGGCAGATCCTTGCTGTAAGGGTCTGGAATGGTGAAACTAAGGATTTTTATTTAGAACATTCTATTTAGGGTTTCAGATCAGAGTATAATTTTGAAATTATATTTCCATATTTGTAGTTATGCTGTTTTTAGTATATTAAATAAGTTATTCAGTTGTTACTTAATTTGGAAATATGCCTTGGAAAATGTGACACTCACAGGGCATATTGAAGAGGAGGGACAGAGGAATGTAATGAATAGTCGACCTAGTGAGCTTATGTAACTGGTTTGATGAATAGGAAGTAGGAGGAATAAAAAAATACAGATTTTACTCAGAACTACTACTAAAGACAGGATGTTGTGGAAAACCATGGTTGCCCATGTCCATAGAAGAAAAAGAATTGGTATTCAATGTTGATGTGATATCTTTTCATTCAGTAACTGAGAACTTGGAATTGTTTCCCAAGTCATTGTTATTGGTTAATTTACTTGTTATTGATATTATGATGAATTCATTATTATTACAATGTATTCAGTATAGAATAGAAAGCTATAGGGTTGATGATGTTGATACAAAAGATTTGTATGTGGAGTTGGTTTGTTTTGAGGGCAAAAAAAAATAATAATAATAATTTACAAAAAATTTAGTCGTGGGAGAAACAAACAAATAAAACCTTCAAGATTTACATCCATCTTGCAAATAACAGAGCGGTTTTGGCAAAGAATTGGTTTATTATGCCTGAACAGGCCAAGGTGCTCTAATCTGACATCTAGTATTCCAGGGAAGATTGGATTATCATAGATCATGGGATTAGATTGTGAAATAATTACTCAACAAAACACTTCTGATCTACTTATTATCTCTTAGCCATGTGTTTTAAGTACGATTGATTGTTTGAGAGAAATACAACTAAATAGAAAATGTGAGGAAAATCTTTTGATTAAATTAAGACCTATTTGATTTGTATCATTTTACACACACACACACACACACACACACACACACACACACACACACACACACACACACAGGGTGCGATGGGTAAATTGTCTAAATTATGCAAAAATGAAAATAACATATCTCTTTTTAACAGATATATTTAACAAAATTACACAAATACTAAAGAATAAATTAATTCAGTAAAATCATCATTGGCTTCAACCATTGTTTCCAGATTTAGGAATCTCCTGCAACTCATCTAGATGGTCTCCTTATTTAAGTTGGTGAATGCTGCCATAATCCTTGCCTTCAGTTCATCTTCAAAGAGTTTTGTTGGTGTTTTGCTCAATTGCGCTCCACATAATAATCAAAGGGGTTGCAGTCTGGGGAGTTAGGTGGCCAGATGCAAGGGGTGATATGATCATAGAAATTGTCTGACAGCCTTGACTGGGTTCTCCTGCTTGTGTGGCATGGTGCAGAGTCCTGTTGCTAGACATAGGGTCTTCCAGCAGCCACATTCTTGACCCAGCACTACCTCCTCAAGACAGTTGATATAGGCCTCCATGTTGAGTCTAAGGCCCTGTGGGACGATGAATGTAGACATAACGTTATCATCACTAGTGATCACTCAAAACACTTTTGTAATCATCATTAGACTCATCCAACTTTTTCCGAATACTCTGCACTGCCGTCAGATTGACACCCAAAATGAAATGTTTGTATTGAAGCTTCTGGCATGAATACCAAGCTGTACATCATGCTGTTTCTGAAATTTCTGGTGGAGTGAATTGCGTCACGGTGCTCTTTTTCTTACAGATGGTGCCCAACTAGCTCTACTATACTATGCAGTTGAAAAAATAAAAAAACAAACAACACATGCACAAAGTTAAAAATCTGAAATGGTGAAAATTTACCCGTCACACCTTTTGTGTGTATATATATATATACACACACACACACACACACATATATATATATATATATATATATATATATATATATATATATATAATTTCAGAAACTGAAAATCTGCTTGAAAATTGAAGCTTCATTTATTACAAACTTGTAATTTGTACTCAAGTAGTTCTGTTAAAACATTCTTGAAATGCTCAATTAAAGTTTATATTAACTTTAGAAATAGTAATAAGCATTAAACTCTTGTTTTATTTCTCCTTGTCTACATTTGTTAGATTGGTGGTGGTGGGGGGGGTTCATTTTAATAGATTTCCTTTCTCCATGTAAGGTTTTAAGTAATGTTTCTTTTGTCTTATAATTTGTATTTTCTGTTGCATTTTGATGGCCTTAATTTGTTGGTGACTTTTTAATTTTGTTACTCTTTCCTTTTCACTTTCTATATTGACATCGGTTTAATGCTTCTTTTTTTTTGCTCTCTCTTATCCTTTGTCTGACAGCTTTTTTCACTCACTGACATTTTTTTTTTTTTTTTTCACTCATTCTCTGTTTTTTTTACTTATTCCCTTCCTGTTTTTTTCACTCATTCTTTCTGTTTTTGTTTTTTTCACTCACTCACTGTTTTTTTTTTTTCTCCCTCTGTTTTTTTTTTTCTCCCTCTGTTTTTTATTTTTTTTCTCACTTACTCTGTTTTTTTGTTTTTTTCACTCTCTTTGTTTTTTTTCACTCTCTTTGTTTTTTTTCACTCTCTTTGTTTTTTTCACTCTTTGTTTTTTTTTCACTCTCTTTGTTTTTTTTCACTCTCTTTGTTTTTTTCACTGTTTTTTTCACTCTCTTTGTTTTTTCACTCTCTTTGTTTTTTCACTCTCTTTGTTTTTTTCACTCTCTTTGTTTTTTTCACTCTCTTTGTTTTTTTCACTCTCTTTGTTTTTTTTCACTCTCTTTGTTTTTTTCACTCTCTTTGTTTTTTTCACTGTTTTTTTTCACACTCTTTGTTTCTTTTTTTTTTCTCACTTTGTTTCTTTTTTTTTTTCCACTCTTTCTTTTCACTCTTTGTTTCTTTTTTTTTCACTCTTGTTTTTTTTTTTTTTTTCACTCTGTCTTTTGCTCTCTCTCTGTTTTTGTTTCACTTTCTGCTTTTTTTTTCATTGTTTCTTTCTGACTTTTTTCACTTTTTGTCTGACTTTTTCTTTTTACTCTCTCTTTCTGAAAGGTATTTCACTCTCACTTTCTGTCTATCGCAGTTTTTTTTTTTTCACTCACAGATTTTTGCTCTCTCTTCCTTTATGCATTCTCTCTCTATCCTCTTCACACTCCTTTTCTCTTTTCCCTACACTCTCTCTCTCCTCCATCTGTTTCTCTATTCAATTTCTTTTTGTTGCAACACTCTCCTTCTGATGATTATTTAATTAACTAATGTCTTTTCTAATACCAGTTGCTTTTAAGCTTCTCATCTTCCCTTGATTTTCACATGCATTCCACACAAATGTGTTACTTCTAATTGTAGTTCCTATTCTTATTATATTTTCACATTTCTTCTCTCTTCATCAATAATGGTTAATTTGGATGATAACCAGCACACCCTCTCGACCAGCTTAATAGAAATTTTAAAATAATAATTTTTCTAAATTTGATAGCTTTACTATAATTTCAAATGTACTCAAAAGTGCACTGAAAATGATTTTTTGGTTTTAATTACAGTCTGCTTTTTGAACTGCATTCTATTTTAGTAGGACTTTAGCACCAGCAAAACTATTTTTCTCTCCCTGGGTGCATTCTTATATATATATATATATATATATATATATATATATATATATATATAACCTAAAATTTTACTTTGACTTTTTTATTATTATTTTTCAGTCATGTAACATTAGGACTATTTATAAAGATGTCTTTTTGTTTTCTTAAACAAAAAGGTAAAGGGTTATATTTTGAATAAATCCTATTTTATGGAGATGTGTGAATGCCTGAATGATTACTGTCATAAAAAATGGAATTGAAAAGATGAATTTCAAATACCAAACAAGTTCCCTTTGAACGCATGTCATTGGGAAAGGCATGAACCCATCTCTTAAACTATGGGTAACTATTAGGACAGACTGGGTTTTCTAGCCTTGAAAGATGGTTCATGTGTTGTGCCAGAATGTTTTTCTCGTCAATATTCATCTTGCACATTTACAAATCTATCATTAATCCATGTGTTGAATACTGTTGCCATATCTGGTCTGGTGCTCCTGCTGTACATCTCATGATTCTTTACAAAATCTAAAATCAGCATCTTGACTTTTGTCATTTTCTAAATGATGTGACATGGCTTCCTTGTCTTTTCTATAAATATTCTCATGGAAATTGCTCTGATGTACTTTTTTCCTCTGGTACCCTAATTATATGAATTCAAGTGTGCTACTTGATTGGCAGCTAGGTCTTACTGTTGAACTAGCTAGATGCGACCACCACTTTAACAGTTTCTTTTCTTAAATTTCCCGCTTGTGGACCTAACTTCCATTTCTTGTTTCCCTGATAACTACAGTCTTAAAAAATTTAAATGCAACATGAATTGCCATCTTTTGTCTCCTTGAACCCTGTAACTTTTTTTCCTTTCCACAATCCTCCCCATTCTCGTTGTCTTTTGCTTTCGCTCCCTCTAAGTCCCTGCATTCTTGTGGCATTATCACTTTACTTCGGGTGAAATGATTTAAAAAAAAAAAAAAAAATTGATAAGTTAGATAGTCAAATAGAATAAATAACTCTGAATTTAAACTGTCGAGGAGGCAACAGGCTCAATTGATTTGGTTTTTTTTTCTTTTTTTTTTTTTTTTACAGTTTCTCAACCTTTTGTGAGTTATTTAAACCAAAGCTGAAACATATTTTGGAATAATCTTTTCTTTTTCTCTTTTCTTTTTCTCTTTTCTTTTTCTCTTTTCTTTTTCTCTTTTCTTTTTCTCTTTTCTTTTTCTCTTCTCTTTTCTCTTTTCTCTTTTTCTCTTCTCTTTTCTCTTTTCTTTTCTCTTTTTCTCTTTTTCTCTTTTCTTTCTCTTTTTCTCTTTTTCTCTTTTCCTCTTCTTTTTCTTTTCTTTCTTTTTCTTTTTCTCTTTTTCTTTCTTTTTCTTTTTTTTTCTTTTCTTTCTTTTTCTTTCTTTTTTCTTTTCTTCCTTTTCTTTTTTTTCTTTTCTTTTTCTTTCTTTTCTTTTTTCTTTCTTTTCTCTTTTTTCTTTCTTTTTTCTTTCTTTTCTCTTTTTCTTTCTTTTCTCTTTTTCTTCTTAATGAGTATTGCATTAACAAGTTTAGGGAATAACTGATTTTTCCAGATACAGTTCATACTAAACCCATAGCTGGAGGGGAGGAGATGGATTCATACTATTCTCAAGTGTATTTAATGAACTCGGCTCTCTAATTTCTCATTCTGAGATGTTATCCATTACACCACCCACACATTTGGAGGCAACACAAAATCATTCCACTGTCTTTGCCAAGAACAATCCTGTCAATGCACAGCTTTGAAAAATTAAAGAAAAGGAAACTGTGGAAAAGCATGACTGCCTACATCTTGAAGGGGCTTGGCATTAAAATATTTTTATAGAAGAACTCCAACTGACACACACACACACACACACACACACACACACACACACACACACACACACACACAGAGAGGCTTCCCCTTACATTAACACACATATATGCTGACTTCCTCTTATGTGCAAACCGACATGAGAAAACTATTTGAAAATACTGAAACTGTCAACATAATGTTGTACCTTAAAGAAATAGGTTTATACCAAAACATAATACCTACAACAGATCACCTACATACTCAATCAGTTAAGTGCCATACATGATACATGCTTGGGTGATCATGTCTCTTTAGAGTCATGACTGATGAAGCAGAAGATTTTCCCACAGTTAATTGCCATTTCTTTCTTTGATGAACTGGTTGCTTACCAAGGCTATAGAACCCAGTCTGTCCTGATATTGAACCCATAGCTTGGTGGAGAAGAGATTCATAACTTTCTCAAGGGTATTTGCGTGTAAGTGAATGTAATGGACCTGATCCGAATTTGAACTCGGCTCCTGTTATCTCGTTCTGAGCTGATACGCATTACATGACGGTGCACATATATATATACTGTATATCTTTAAAATATATGGTTACCCTGAAAGTATATAATTATGTACAAAATATATGTAGTTGAAGGTGTATAATGGCATTCAAAATATATTTAAATTTCGGCATTAAATAAACTATACAAGTTGATATGCCACTAAACAAAATCAACCAATCATTCATATGCGCACATGCATATATGAGTGGAAACTTTGCGTGCATGGTTTTCAAATCCCTTTTTTTTTCTTTTTCTTTTTTTTCTTCTTTTTTTTCTTTTTTTTTTCTTTTTTTTCTTCTTTTTTTTTCTTTTTTTTTTCTTTTTTTTTCTTTTTTTCTTCTTTTTTTTTCTTTTTTAAATATTCCAGTTGATTTGTATTTATTGAAAAACTAGAAGACCTTCTACAGAATGTAACAAAAGAAAGCGAGAAGAAAGTACTAAGCATAAACTACAAGACAATGGAATGCATGGTTATCAGCAAAAGGATGAGCCCAAAATGAAAATTACAGGTTGGTGATACTAAAATCAAGTAGGTACAGAAATATAAAATTTCTGTTCTAACAGAGGATGGAAAGTGTGACATTGAGATCTGAAGATGTATTGGGATGGCCAAAGATGCATTCCAAAAGCTAAGCAGAGCATTAAGCAACAGAAAAATTTTGTTGGAAACAAAGAAAAGAGTACTGAACTGTTTGTATGGCAGAAAATTGTTGGACAATCTCTTCAAAGAAGAGACTTGAAGCAACAGAAATGTGGTTTTACAGAAAGATGCTGAGGTCACCATGGGTCAGACATGTGAGCAATGACAAGGTTTTGGAGAGAATAGGAACAAAAAGGAAACTTATACTTAACATCAGGAAGAGGCAGTTAAAATTTCTGGGGCATGTGATGATGAAGGAGGGCTTGAAAAATAAAGACAGAGGAAAGCTGTACGTTACATACTAGATGAGTTTGAGCAAATGGATGGCAGAACAGGGTTTGGGAGAAATAAGAAAAAGACAAAAATTATTAAGAGCTACAATGGACAAGGCCATGATTGCCTATATATCTTGAAGGGGCATGCCATATGAAAGAAGGTTGGGTTGATAACTTTTTAACAACTTCTTATAGCATCAGTTTTAATAGTATCTCCTGATGAAAAAATGTATTAATAGTAATTTCTATCAGCTGCATAAATTCCATGGTGTGTCTTAGCAAAGTAAAAGTTGAGTTTAATAGTATACTCCTAATAAATATTAAATCATTCACTAAAACTTATATATAGCTCCTGAGAAGATATTAATTTGGGCAAGCACTGTGGGGAGAAAGTGTGAATTTATAAACATTGACTATTACTGCTAATAATACAAAATTCTCCCAACTGGTTGAGTTCTCTAGGTCACTGGCATGTTTATGAAAAAATAAATATGCAAAAATTCGCCTTTCTCTCTTCCGGGTGCCTATAGCCTGGGGGTTAGAATCTCTGACTGATGCCAAATCAGTTGGGTTTCGGTCCTGGCTTGAAGCAATTGGATGTCTAGCCAAGCTGATGAGCTGTTATACAGCAAAACAGTCTGTCTGTGGATGACGAAATATCTATATTCAGTTGTATACCAGTTTGTTTGATGATCACAAAACCATGAAACCCAGGGCCACAAACTGGTATATTTTTTAAAAATTTAATCTATTTATGCTTATTTGTGTTTGATTGTGGGAGGGGAAAATCCTCCTCTGTGTCCATTTTGGGATGATACTCTCTCACACACACAGGCATAAGTACATACAGGTGTACACATAGTTCACACACACACACACATATAAACAATCCAAGATTAGGTGCAGATACACATCCATACATTCAAGCATACATACATATGCAATTATAATCCTATTTCTGTATGACTTTATTTAGCAAAGAGCATTTGTGGGAAAGTAAATGCAATAGATTAACTGGGAATTTTAACTCTGCTTGTTGATTCCAATTGCTATGCTGATACTCATTACACTAACTGCACATCTTAATGGTTAAACTAATTATAATAATGATGAGAGCAAACTTTGCTGAATTAGGTGAGAAGAAACTTCTAGATTCCCTGACACATTTATTTCATCTGGTACTTGAATCAAGAACTCGTAGGTAGATGTTTAAATCAACAGTTGAGTAGCAGAGATGAAAATCAAATCTATATTAAGTTACATGGGTGTATTTTTTGTTTTTAAGAGGATGATAATTAATTCTATGTTTATAAGAGGAAGTAGTTTATAAAATGGGAGCCTGTATTTTCAAATATTAAATTTCTGACTTAATTA